TTACTGTGGAAACTGGAACCAAAACCAGAGCTCTAGTCAGAAAGCTTTGGGAATAGGTTTGGTTTTACACTCACTGTTTCAAAAGAAACAAACTGTAATTACATGTTATCCCTCCCCTTCAAATGCCACAGGGAAAAACAGGCAGGGGCCCATCCACAAATGGTAAATCCTACAGAATTATCTTTAATATTGCTACTTTACACTTTCCTACCTACTAAGGGAACTGTGAATATATTAATGCTAATAGAGCACTCAGTGTCTCAGATGAAAGTGCAAAGCATGATTAATACAAGAGACTAGGGTTTTATGTAAGATCTCTGCATATTTTTACTTCCTTAGCTTGCCCAACAGAGAACTAAAATAATTTGCTCTTTGCCTTCCTGCCTCACTAGTGTTTTGAGCTATTGATTGGCTAGCCATGAGCCGACTCTGTGATCTATGTTAATATTGTAATATTTTACATTTCTAGAGCACCTTGCCCCTAAGATTCTCAAAATTCTTCAATTAGTCTATCAAAAAAAACCCCCTCTGGTAGGCTAGTATGGAGTCCCATTTTATACTTAGGAAACGGAGGCATAGAATACATAAAACACATGTAAGAAGCACCTTTTACTTATCCAGCCTTTGAGAAACAGCCTTTAGAAGAAGAGTGTTGCTAGTGGAAAAAGAAAACCTATATATGCCATTACAATTCACCTCTTTTTCACTAGCTAAGTTTTTTTTCCCCTTTACTATTCATTCCTGGAAAATGCTTCATGGCCAAAACACAATTGCTGACTTTAGCATCTATGCATTTTGCTTTAAGGACAGATTGTACTGATCTCACGCCATGAAGGCTAATGTACAGCCAACATCTGTAAGGCCCCATGGACATATCCTTATGGAGGCTGGGTGCTGTACAAGCTCTTAAATTAGTAGGCAGCCAAAGACTGTGTATGATTTGGCTCCAGTTCCTTTTGAACTTGGCTGGCAAAGAAATGGATGACAGCCAAGCAGCATCTTGTTATTGTTAGGTGCAAATGGAGAGGACCCAAGGAAGGACAATGTACAACATACCATTTTATCAGTAACCTGGCAACTAACCACTGACAATTGAAATAATCCATTTGCCACAGTCAATACTAGAACAGGATTCTTCAATAACTATTCAAGTTGTTTGTCTTCTTCATTTTCTTTAGTGTGCACACAATACTGTTGAGCAATATGCCTGTCTGAACTCGATAGCAGGGAGTACTGCGTGAGCAGGGCATTCCCTCCAGAGATCTTAATGACTCACTGAGGGGGCCCGGAGCTAATTCACGTCTTTAGCAGGATATGGAAAGTGTGTCAAGTCTGGTACATGATGGCAACATACTGCTTTAGGCCAGCTTCATTGCTTTTACCAGACAGTTTTAGTTCAAGCCATTTGCAAACAATGATTTTAAGATATAAAAGAATCCAGATCAAAAACACTGTGCCAAATTCAAGCCTGGACACTAAGCTGGCATCATTCCCAATGAGCTCAAGGAAGAATCTTGTGCACTGTGTTAAGTTACAACTCTTTGTACACATTGATGAAGCAAAAGTACAATGTTCTGAACCAAGTTTACTTTTCTGACTCATGGTATAAACTGGAAAGTACAGGTTGCATAGAGCTATGCTGTCTGAAGAAGGAAATGCTCCTTTAGTGGCTTTGTTATAAAAGGAAGTGAGGCTTCAAGTTGCTAAATTTACATAAAATCGATTTGTAAACTCAACCCAGAAGAAACATAGGAAACTTTATTTTCTTGCTTTCTGAGTGAATACACTGGCTAGCTTTATTATAGCATTTAATTTTAAAACAAAACAAAACCGTTGGAAAGGGGGAGGGTGCTGTTCCTACAACTTCTCCATTGCAACTTGCATCTTTCACATCACCTAATAAGTTGGCTGCTCCATCACCTAGCTGCTGAAAGAGAAAGAGCTTTCTGTCTCTTCTCCATCCCACCTTATGCTGCTGGTTGAGGTGAAGGGGGTGTTTCTACAATCCTCCAAATCCTATCCATCTTTGTTGAGACCTCTTCCCTGTGAATGGACTGAATGTAGAGAAGGAAGGCATTATATTAACAAGCCAGTATCCAGTGTACAGGTCCAGATGTCTGTCCCAAGAGACAATGGCAGATGTGGTTAATTTTCTCGGAAGGGTAGGATGATAAATTCTTCGCAGAAGCAGATGTTGAGCTCTGGAGCTGCATGAAGGTATTTCAAGTTAACAAATCTGGATGCACATTTCAGGCAATTCACCTTAATTGTTATCAGTGTAATAGGTCATAACACGAAGCCACCATGGTAAAGCCCACAGAGATATTGAAAATTAAAGTTACTGTACAAACACAATGGCTAAATTTTCAAATCTTAGTAACTTAAGTCTAGATCATCCCTATTGTACAGTAATACCCACAAAAATTACCCTTGTAAGCTTCTGCCATGCACAAGTGTGTGTGTTTGTCTGTCTATCTGTCCCTCCCTCCAATGGAAAAAAGGAGTCAGAATACACAACACCAATACCCCAAAATCTGTAGGTTGCAGAGGGCCATCCACATGATGGTCCTGTTCATCTGCAGCAGCTCTGGTTTCCCTCCTTGTTACTGCAGTTCCTTCACTGCTGCAAGGAAAGCTACATTTTTAACTTGGGTACCTGCATCTTGACTGTGGAGATATTTGCAATTGTTAATTTTCACAACCATTTCTTCTGTTGTTCTTTTTGCAATCTTTCATTAATTACATCCAGAAAGAGATATTTAAACCATAGTAATTTCCATGCTGTTAACACTTTCTTGTTTATCAGTCTATCCACGCATCTATACTGCACTCATCTCTGTGGTATCTGAGCATCTAAGTCCTGGTGCTAATCTTCTTCATTTTCTGTTCCTATCAATAAACAGACTAAGCCAAGGCACCACACTTTTATTTTACCCCTGAGACAGCCAGATTGGTAAAACAGGTTGTGTGTCTTTGAATATAAATAGTCTAAATACAAAATTGCAGTGATGGCTTTAAAGAAAGCTCTGGAATGGCCCAATTCCATCAGGGGTCAAGCACTCACAAATTAACTTAAAAGCAAATTATGCACCTTTGAAAAATCAGGCCAATGGCCAACAAGCAAAAAATGTTAGGGGCAGTAGCTTTAAACCCTCCACAACCTACACATCTGAACAGTGCTGAACACAAGACATTTGTTAAGTTACAGAAACAAATCAGAATATGGGAGATGTAGGAAAATACATTCTGGCAATGTTAGTTTCAAGCTTCTTTGGGGATTTGGGTACTATACAAAATACTACAGTTATGGATTCTTCAAACCACTGTATTCTTCAAATACTGATGCAAAATCTCTGAATCATCTGGATGTTGTTTTAAAATAATGTAACAATACACACAGTATTAGTTTTACATTCTGCACCAAGAACAAAGGTATTATATACTGTATGCCTAACACTACTGATTTATGCACCTACACCTGCTTTTCTAATTAACTGAACCAGAACTAATTGTTTTCTCTGGGAGAAAAGTACACATACCAGATGTTATTCTCCTGAACCAGAGAAGCAGCAATTTGTATTTGTACTGGAGTGGTGTACACTGGAACAAAAAACAGTGAGTGTTTTGTTAGACTTACGTGATGGAAGAGAGAGTACACTGAGGGCTTGTCTACACTTGAAACTCTACAGGGGCACAGCTACAGCACTGCAGCTGCACCGCTGTAGTGCTTCAGTGTCGACACTACCTATGCCAACAGGAGGGGTTCTCCCATCGGTGTAGGTAATCCACCTCCCGGAGAGGCAGTTGCTAGGTTGGTGGATGAATTCCGTTGGGTTGGTCTGAGTTTTTTTTTTTAAATATGCTAACATTAGAAACACAACCTCAGTACTCTATAGCCGGATAAAACCAAAGACTGTTGTGCAGTTTCATGCTAAAAAAGGGGTTCCGCGTCCCTCAGTGAATTGGCACAACCACCCAATCCAGCATCAATTGCTCAAACATGTGTGGAACGTTTTGCTGGGACATGATTCTAGGTAACCATACGCACTCTGGCTGAGCTGTAGAGGTGGCCCTGATTAATATCCCCCCACAAGCTAATATTTGTATTGCAAAATTTGTGTTTTTTCATAATCCATGGAATAAACGCAGCAAGAACATTTGCCAGGTAGTAGCTGAATATTTTTTTGACCCAATTTGCTTTTATCCTCTTGCCTGATCTTTTTAGGATGTTAAAACATGCCAAGCACTGCATAGGGTATTTTACATATACCCGTTTGAGTTAATTTGCAAGTATTAAAGTCTCACTAACAAAGGCTAAATGCTGTGAGCTATTGACATTTCATTAATCTTCAAAGAATCTCTCACTCTGGATATGATTAATGTATGTGGCAGCAAATAATGAAAAGGGTATCTATTGTGCACAGAACCATTTAGAAATCTTGAAAATCCTTTTGCATTCCCTTTGTTCCACAGTCTCTCCTCCGCCTGGCTGAGAATAAGGAAACAGTCACCGGTTATGCTATAGCTGGTTCCCACCAACACAACATTCCGATCCTCACTGAGCTGTGCATTCAAGCAAAAAAAGGAACAAACATAAACAACTCCATTCCCATCCATCTACTAGAAAGGAACTCACAGATGCTCCATTATATACCTCCCACTGGAACAGATGAGGCAGAAGATTTGTATAAAAAAGAGGGAAGACTCAGACAAAACAGAGGGTCATTGTAATTGTTTTCATTGATAATCTGTTAACCAATGTTACACTATTGAAATGCTACTTATGCCCCCCCCCCCCCCCAGTTTTAAAAAAAATAATAAACATTGTTAGCTGGCCCTGAGAATCATTCTAATTTACTTCCCTTCAGAAACGGTGCAAATATCAGATAATATTAAGTTCATTTAAAGAATGTGAGAAGAGAAAGGAAAAAAAGCATGACAAATGTATTGAATTTTAATTTTAATTATGTATATAAATAGTAACGAGAGACTGAGGAGTTCTGAGACTTGCTACTTGCAGTGCTGATCCTCCAGTAGGCTCTGTATGGGCAGACTCTTAAAGCTCTCTGGATGCTGTTGCAGGACTGAGGCCTAAAAGTTTCCATGCTGACAAATCCTAGGCAGTGTCCATTCACAGAGAATCCATACCAGAGTACCAGATAGTGCAAAGTCAGTCCTTCCTGAGGCAGAACACAGGTTAACTATACTTGTAATCAAAACAGATTCTTCAGTCATCTCTCTCTCTCTCTCTCTATATATATATAGAAAAATGTTGATCTTGTCTAAATCTTCTATGCACCTGTGTCCAAAGAAGGGGAAGAAATAAAATTAATATCATAGGCTTATTTTTTGCCACTGCTAATTTGCAATTAAAAACATACTTATTTTGGTTTGCAATTTAACCAGCAATTGCTCAAGGCACATGCTGATAAATACAGATATCTTTGTAGTGCAGTGATTTACTTATTGGTATTATAGTAGAATGCATTGTGCTAGGTGCTGTACAAAGCACATAGCAAAACCCTGCTGCAAGGAGCTCATATATAACTATAACTATCACATAAGCCACAGAGAACTTTGCTCCTCTGGCTGGGGAATGTTGTGGTTGGGGAACATAGGAAGTGGGGAGAGCACTCCCCAACAATACATCCCAACTTGAATTCGAGTAACCAATACCTTTTACCACTGAACAATTTTTCACACCTGTTAAATATACAGGGCCTGATTCTAATCTGATTTACACTGGTGTAAATCCAGAGTAACTGCATTAAAGTTAACAAAATTAGATAGATGAAGAACCAATAGTAAACATTAATTTTGGGGATACACCACTATCCCCTGGCTCCCCTTCTCCAGGCCCCCACTTCTTCCCCATCTCAGCCCAAGCCCACTGCGCAGCTCCTCCCAGCCCCCATGCTGTCCTCTCCCAGCCCTGCCCCCTCCTGCAGCCCCATCACCTCTCTCTCCTGTCTAACCAGGCTGCTGACTATCCACTTTTCGCCTCTGCCTGCTTCCTCCACACTGGCATTGCCTGCTGCCTAGGGGAAGTGAGATTGTGGGATTTGGGGGTGTCTTTGGGGCACTGAGACACCTCCCAGAACCCACCATTTGGGAAACATTGCTAAAGGGGGTCTCCACAGCATCGCTGCAAAGTCATTCTGTCCTAACAGCATAACCCAAAGACCTATCCTATAGCAAGTTCAGATGAGTGAGGGCAGGATTTTGCTTAGGCCTGTGGACAGCAATTCCAGGCCCCAGGGTGGAACAGTCAATGGGCCCCCTAGAAAGGGATGTGCCCGCCTGGCTGCATTTGCCGCCACTGGTACCACCCCGCACGTGCCTCGGAGCCAGGGCCGGATTAACCTTTTGTGGGCCCGGTGCCAAACATATTTGTGGGCCCCCACAGGAGCAATAGAACATGGTGCGGGGAGGTCAGTACCTAGAGTGAGGGGCCGGCCAGGGGCAATGGGGCATGACATGGATGGGGCGGCCCTGCTCTGTCCAGCCAAGTGCGAGAGCACTGTTTACAGACTGGCAGCCACCTGACGCCCACTGGCCCACCCAGCCCTGTGCTGCCAGCATGCCCTTCCCCTCTGGGGCGGGTCCATGCCGTACCACACAGCCCCCCCAACCAACCCCTGCCAACCCCTATGCCCAGCCTCCTCCGCCCACAGCCCCAGCGCCCTGCACACCACCATCCCTGCCCAGCCCTCCCCCCACCCACAGCCCCACCGCAACTGCTTAGCGCCCCGACACACACAGATCTCCCCAACCCTGCACAACCCAAAGCCCTTCCCCACAGCCCCACCACAACTACACAGCACTCCACACAGACCCCCCACTGCCCAGCACCCTGACATACACAGATCTCCCCAACCCTGCACGACCCAAAGCCCTTCCCCACAGCCCCTCCACTACAACTCCACACAGATCCCCCACTGCCTAGCACCCCAACACATACAGGCCGCCCCCCCGCCAAGCACCCCCCCGTGTCTAGCAATCCAAAACACACAAACCTCCCCCACTGCCCAGCGCCCCCCACCCCCTCACAGCCCACCACACACTCCCACAGACCCACTCCCCCATGCCTTGCCCCCTGGCCGCACTCACCAGCCCTGCTGAGCCAGCACAGAGCAGGGATCCCCTCTCCCAGTACAGTCCTAGGGGACAGAACAACTGAAGCTCCCTACTCCCTTCTCTTCATGTGTCATTATGTAATGCCTGCATCTGTAACTTTAACTCCATGCATCTGAAGAAGTGGGTTTTTTACCCACGAAAGCTTATGCCCAAATAAATCTGTTAGTCTTTAAGGTGCCACTGGACTCCTTGTTGTTTTTTAACTGAAGCTTGGGCACACAGAGTGGTCCCACCACCCAGCCCTACTTGCCTGGTGCTGGGGCCCGCAGCGGAGAGGAGACGTTTCCTTGCAGGGGTGGCGTGGGGCAGCCACCGACTTCCCCAGCCCACTGCTTCAACAGAGCGGGCCCCGCGGCCCACCCGGGTAATTTAAAAGGGCCTGTGGCTCCTGGCCACCGCCCTCACTACTGCAGCAGCGGCGGCCGGGGGCCCCCGGGCCCTTTTAAATCGCTCAGGCCCCTGGGCAATTGCCCCCTTTGCCCCTCCCCATCAATGGGCCTGATTTTGCCTTATTTTAGTAGCCAGATTCAAATATTAGTATTGCAAGTGACTTAAAAGGAGAATGAAATAAAAAGAAAAAAAGCACAATCTGACATACTTAAGCATATATCCTAAGCAGTGTAAGTAGAAAAAATGTGTTTTGTTAAAAGCTTACAGTACTGATCTCCAGCGCTGGGATTACCCAAATCTAACAAAAAGCCCTGACTCAAGCAAAGTCTATAGACTCTAATCTAAGCAGTGATCACAATTCACCAGCCATTTATCAGCACAGCTGACAAAAGACACAGAATTTCCCCATCTCTCTCAGGCCAAGGACTGAGGTTTTTAAGTGGCTCAATTTATAAAAAGTTAATTGTAGCGTCTCTACAGATAACTTATGGAAAAGTAAGTGGTATTTCAAGGGCTACACTTCCCCCTTTTAACCATTCAAACATATTTAAAGAATTAAATGTTTAAAAGTGTTAAGTAAATAAAATGGACACCAGAGACACTTCACAAATCAGGACTTCAGACACCAGCTTGCACTAGAGATGTTGTTCAAACTTATTTGCATAGTGTGAGTCCAGTACTGGGACTGATAGATTTTGGGAACAGAGCTTTGAAAAACATAAATGTGTAAAGTGAATGTTAAGAGTATGATTCCCCCCTCCCTTTGCTTAATTAGAAACAAATAATTTAGGTAAGTTCTCAAAAGGTGAAATAAAAACAGCTGAAAATAGGTCTATTTGTATATAAAATATCTAGTGGTACTGGAAGGACAATTTCATGTTTCTGATTAACCTGACACTTGCAGATGCATCTTTATATACAGAAGACAATATTAATGTTTTTGTAGCATTTAGATCTTTCCTAATTCACAGTGAAAAAATATTTTAATTACACATCCTCTTCCTTTGTTTTCCCCCCATGCCTCTCACTCAAGCCAAACCTTTTCTCCTCTTTCTTATCATGTTTATTTCTATTTTATGTAGCTATTTTGAAAAAGGTAAATACATTTTTATTGTTGTAGTTAAAGTATGAATTGTCTATGAATCCGTCAGCCGACTTTTGGAACTGTCAGGAGTTAACTACAGTAATTAAGGATACATTAATGGAAACATTAAAGTGCAGCTCTATTCTTAAAAGTGATTATGTAAAAATAAGGGATTGTTATTCAAGAGATGTGTGCATTCAGTCATATCTGCAGAATCTTTGTTAGTGCTGATGACTCATGAAATTCAATGACCTCAACCTGTTTTTCAAACCTAGATGGAGTTTACAGGGCTGGCAGTTGAGGTGGGGGAGGAACATTTTGCTTGTAAACTGAGCTTATTTGATACAGAAGTCTTTGAGAAACAAACACGAACCCACAATATCACTTTTACAGTCACTTTCTAGAGTAGAATCATTCTTTTGTGTAACACAGATGAAAATGGTAAAGATGAGTGTATTGGCAGGTAAGCCCAGAGAACTGACACTGCATCTGTCAACCACACTGTCAATCTTGCAGACAAAACCAAACCAAACATTTCTCTACTGTATTTGCAAACTTCAAAGCAGCACTTTAAAAAATTGGCTGGCTATAGAACTATGATATGTACATTTTAAACAGGTCCACTATCTTATCAAATAAAAATGTAGAGGCAGCAGAGTTTAATGCAAACCTCATTCATGCCACAGATTATTCTACATTTTTAACAATAAACAGCAGTAATACTCTTCAGTTACATAGCATTTTTTTGTCCTGTGATCTTAACCTGCTTTAAAAAGGTTGATTACCCTAATTCCAGGAATGTGGAAACTGAAGGCTAGAGTGGTCATGTGACTTGCCCATAGTTATACAATGAGTCAGTAGCAAAGTCAGAAACAGAACTCTAGTCACTTCCACATCTCCTGCTCTGAGCACAGGACAACACTGCCTTCATTTGCCCAGACTCTTTTGAGAAACAATTGTGACCAATCCTTGTCCTTTACCTGTTTGATGGGAAGTGATGGCGCATTCTACTTCATGGTTCTTTCTTCACCTGAATTGACGTGTACTTCCACTGGCATGTCATTGTTGGCTTCAGACTTCAAAAGAAAACACAGTATTTAAAATGAAGCCCAACCCATGGTAAACAATTCTGCCAGAACAGAAACCCTCTTCAAGAGCTAAAAAAAGAACAGTTACTTACCTTGCACAGTAACTGTGGTTCTTCAAGATTATGTAACCAGTGTGGATCCCACTGTAGGTGCACCCACACCTCACGTAAACAAGGCTGGGATTTTTAAATGCTAGTGTCAGTCAGTGCACGTGTCTGTATCTTCCTCACAAGTCAAAGCCTGTGTTGCTGAGGACGGCAAAAAGCAGGGACAGAGGGCATGGGATCCACACCGACTACAACACCTCAAAGAACCATAGGTACTGCAGGGTACATAAATACATTTTTACTGAGGTAGTTAAAGTATGAAATAATGTCTATGAATCAGTCACTCAGTCTACTTTTGGAACTGTCAGGAGTTAGCTACAGTAATTAAGAATACATTAATGGAAACATTAAAGTGCAGCTCTATTTTTAAAAGTGACTATGTAAAAATGGGGCATTGTTACTCAAGAAATGTGTGCATTCAGTCATATCTGCATAACCTTTGTTAGTGCTGATCTCCCCCTCTGGGTATGCGTCAGTCTGGTTCCCCCTGTAGGTGACTGGCAAGCAGTATGCTCTCAGGACATGCGAGTAAGGAGTATCAATCAAATGGCTGATTGAAGAACAGCTCTTTCGAACTTAGCATATGCTCTGGTTGCCATGTCAAGGGTATAATAAAAGCCAATGGGCTGCTCCACATGGCTGCCGGACAGATCAGCACTTTTCTGAAGCAGACCACGGATGTTGCTTATGCCCTAGTGGGGTGTGCCTTGAGGTTCAGAGGGAGCAGCTCACCAGCCAACTAATAACAGGTGGAAATACACAGTGTGATCCCCTTTGAGATTCTCTGGGATGAGATGGCTTGGCCTTTCGATGTGCTGGATAAGGCCATGAAGAAGCACAGAGAAAATCTGAAAGGCTTGGTCTCGTGGGTGGAACTCCCCTTGGGAGGCTAGCCCCCGGCTCTGCCCCTTCCTTCCTTGACCCGCCCCCGCCGCCAGAGCCCCGAGTGCCACCCCCACCCCCACCGGCTGGAGGAGCCGTGGGCCAGCCTCCCCTCTCCAGACCCCAAGCTGCCCTGGGGAAAAGCATTTCACTCTCGCAAAGACGCTTTAGATATGCCCCATGCAGGTTCCAGGGCGGCCGAGGAGGCAGTATTTGCTACTCAGCTTCCTGGGTTGCTTAGTAATCTCTCTGGGAGATTACTGATGAACTCAGGAAGCTGAATAGCACATACCACCTCCTCAGCCAACCTGGAACCTGCATAGGCATAATAAAGCAAAAACTCCCCCGCAAACCCTGCAACTGGGGGTCCGGCAGCCAAGGATGGGCACTGTAGGAGAACAACATTAAGCTCTCATATGGGAGTCGGGTCTCTAAATGGAGGGCAGGTATGAAGAAGACCGTTGAGGCACACAAGACTGAAGGAGCCTTTACTGGGGCATAAGACGCCAATATTACTGCAAGATGGATTTTAAGGGAGCTAGACAGTAGACCTGCCTGTATCAGGAGAAGTGTATAGTCCAGAATCTTTATTGTCAGAGCCTCTACTGAATTCACATAGTTCTGGGCTGTCCATATGGGAAATCTTTTCCACTTTGAGGAACAGTTTTCCTGGTGGAAGGTTCCTAGCTTTGTAAAATAATTTCCCGGTCCTGCTCATCCAGCCAACATGTGCAATGATTATGTGTCTGGTTGCAATATTTGACCCTGGTTCTGTGATATCATGCCCAGACAGGTGGGAAGACATAGGAGAGGCTGACTGGACATCTGATTGAATATAGTCTTGTCCTTCACAACATTCTCTGGCAAGAAATTCCACAGGCTGACTGTGCGTTGTGTGAAAAAAAATTCCTTTTAGGATATCTTTCAGCTCCTCTCTCCCTTCATGAGGGAGCTTTGCCAGAGAGTTGTAGAGAAACCAAGGTGACTGCAATCTGGATCAGGAACTCCTGAAAGGCCTTGAAATTGTTCACTGCAGAGGCTACCACCTTGTCCATGGATGACGAGTAGAGGTCCTCAGAAAGTGAAAGCTTTGATCTTGCTCCTCTCTCTGTATTCCAGTGACTGAGGTCTTGCTAACAAAGCCATGGGATGGGGGGGAGGGGCTCCTCCTCTTCCACAACAGCCAGGGATTGGTGGGCTCTCTATAGCCCCATCAGTGTTAAAGTAGCGTTTCATATGTGTACAGACAGGGCAGCAGGTTGAAGGCCAGACCAGCGCCAATCCTGGCATGCTAGTGGTTGAGAGCTGTAGAGACTCTCAGGGTCTCCTGGTGGCACCATTCAGACACTAGCAGAGATGGGTCCCTGCTGGACACCAGCAAAAGGGCATGTCCCGGGTATTATGAGGAGTACATCTACTCTACAGTTAGCATTGATTGGTAAGGCAATATGAGTGCAGGTGATGCTGAGAGTGGCTCTGGTGCATCCTGAGTCCATCCTGTCAGTGCCAGAGTCAACATCCACAGGGCAGTATTTCTGATGCCAGGCCCAGTGGAGTCTGCTCCTTTTCATCCATCTTCAATGCCCTGCAGGACTTGGATGACTTGTCACCCAACATCCTCCTGTCTCTCTATGAGACGACCAAGCTCCTTCTCAAGCTCATGTCTCAGAAAGCCTCTTCCAGCACCTTGCTTCCATTTCTGAGATGTTGACAGCTTTGGTGCCAGGCGCAGTACTAATGCCAATGTTGATGCTTCATCTGGTTTCTGTGCAGTTTTTGGAGCCACCTGCCTAATAGATGGAACACTAGAAGATGCAAGCTTGAGCATTAAAGAGGTCTTTGAGATTGAAAGTGGAATCAGATCTAGTTGTCCTTATATTCTGGGTCTTGAACCCAGGCCTGAAGAGCTGCTAGGCAGAGGACATCTCCATGCCGCCACCCAGTGGGAGCTATAATAACTTTGTGCTCCACTACCCATGACCCACGGAGGACACAGACAAAAGGAAGCCCCACCTCAAGGGGTCTGACAGACAGCAGCCTCCTGGCTCCTGACTCTCTATAAACCAAAGGGATGTTCCAGGAAGTGTCCAGGCAACAGCACAGATCTCCTGTACCTTTACTGACCACTCCTGCTCCATGTTCTTGAACCTCTTGAACTCCTGGCTTAAACCTCACCTCGATTTGGACCTCACCTCCTGACTCAGACCCTGAAAGTTGACTTGGACTCTAATCCTTAGTATCAACCCTGGCTTGGAACTTTACTATGAACTCCTATGCTGCTCTCAGCCTCAAGTGTGACCCTGCTCTGACCCCTAGTCCCAACAGCCCTGGTCACGATCCTGACACAGAAGAACCACAGATTGCTCCTGCAGATGGGAGCTTCAGCCTCACGCCTTTCAAATTGCAGGTTCTTTCAGAGAAGCAGAGGCAGACTGAGCCCTTGCCTGGGATGTGGGACTCTCCCAAGCAGAATAGGTATATGCTGTGCCCATCTTTCAGAAGAATTAGTTCATCACAGGACAGTCTAGACTTGTTTGATGCCTGCAGGTTTTGAGTCCACCAATTCTAAGTCCCTGTCTGCTTAGTGGTTTTTGGTTCAACAAGCACTAGAACAGATTAGAGTGATCAAAATACAGGAAAAAGTAGTTCTGAAGAGTTTCAGAAAATTTTTAAGAAGTTTGGCCAAACCTAAAGTCTAGCAGTTGCACACCAACTAGATTCCATCTCACTGGTATGGGTGATAAGAGGGAACTTAGGGAGTGTCACGGCCACCCCACTCTTTATACCCTCACATGGGAGCACAGAGCAGGGACACGGCTATTCCAAAAAAAAAAACCCAGTCTCATGTGCACCTACATTGGGATCCACACTGACGGAAACCCAAAGGACAATCACTTCTTGCAAAATGAAATGGTCGATGAATCTGACATTCACTTTCTCTCTCCCTCTCACACACAAAATCGCTCCAAAAGTATTTCTAGATTTCAGCCATCCAGTGTTTGGTTTAACACTAAGTAATGGAAGAACAGTAGTTCAGTGAAAGATACTTTAACTGATTCATTTTTGTCTGCACTAATTACAGAGGTAGAAAATTTCCCACAGATGTTGTAGATGCCATTTTACATTCCTAGAATTCCGTGTTGATTTATACACTAGACCTCTTTTATACTATACCCTTTGAAAGTGTGTTCTCACGCTACCTCTGCAGTGAATAACAGAAATTAAAGACTGAAGAAAGGCTTATTAGAGCATCTTTTCAGCCTCCCTGCCAATGCAAGAATGTTCCCTACAGCATATATTCAAATCTAGTTTTAAATGGGCTTCACTAAGAATATTTCCATAACTTCCACTGAGAGACTATTCCACAGTCAGACCGTACTACTTCAACAAGTGTTCTGACATTAAGCTTTTGCTTTATTTATTCCATTACTCCTAGTTAAACTCATTTGGACTTCTCTGTGGTATGATGAGGCTCTGCTATATCTGCTTCCAAGTGGATTTAGCCTGTTTACATCAGGTTTTAACAACCCCCTTTTATGCAATTCCAAAACACTTCCAAATATAAGTGTGCTACTGTAGCATGTGGTTGAAATTTAATTTAATTTTCTCTCTATAGTAATAAAGAATACTTTACTAACTTCACCTAAGTACAATTGTGAGCAACAAATTATTTGGCGCTAAGGTTTGAGACAAATTAAATTTTCACAATACAGTTAAACTGTAATGGGAGTTCACATATAAACTCTATGAATAAGGAACCACATTTTCCTTTATTTTTTATAATCACCAAGCATGCTGTCAACATTTAACAAACAATTATGTTTATATATCAGTTCAGTAGTCCTTTAGGGATGCATTAACTTTTACAGACACAAAAAAAAATCCCTGCTTAAAAATATTACCATCTAATAAAGCCTCATTCATCCACGTGGCTGGATCCTTATGCAGAACCCCATTTTAGCCAGGATAGATATGTAAACATGATCAATGCGGATGTGG